ATATTATTGGACATGCTTCAGAAATGCTGGGAACAAAAATCAGCTCCAAGAATCTGGAGACGCTCGAATGTTGTGCTACTGTTTGAACAAAAGAAAAGCCGCTTTACCGGCAAATTGCAAGCCTATTTCGTTATTGCCGGTTGGCTACGAAGTCTTAGCAACACTCTTACATCATCGACTTGTTCGGGGCGCCGCTAGGCACCGATGACGACAATCGCAGTTTGGGTTCAGGCCCAGGAGCGGAAACAACGTTGCGCTAATGTTAATGAGGTGCATGAGCGACGCGGCTCACTTGGAGAACGATGGGGGGCTTACTTTACTCATGCCTGATTGGGCCAAAACATTTGACAGGATTAAGCCGGATTGTATGTGTGCCACGCTGGTCCGCTTCGGGTCCCTCTTTGCATAGTTCAACATGTAAGAGCTATATACGCAGCAAGGTATTCCACCAATCTGAACCACACTGGCGCGGCCTCTGAAAGAGCACAACATGCAAATATTGCGCAAAGATGCCCTCTGTCACCTTACTTGTTTATCATGGTTCAAAATGTGATTTTTCATGTCGTATTTCGCACTTATGATCCCCAAGCAGAAGCGGCATTTACCGTTACGCGCGATATCCTCTACGCCGATAACACCCTGCTTCTCTCGCGACACGCTGAAAACTTCAATGGGCTTTCGGCGGCAATAGTTGCTGAAGGATAATGTGAATTGAACTGGGAGAGAAAAACATTACTATTCTAACAGGCAACATGATTCTTAGGCCGACTGGCGAGCCGATAAAAACATCCCGCGAAGCCATCTACCTTGAAGGGCTTATCACGTGCGACGGGAAACCGACGACGGAGGTGACCAAGCGATTGGGGGAAGCGACGAAGATTTTCAAGCAGCTGGACCGGATATGGGCACACACGTCAATAAAAAAACAACATAAACACATCGTATATTCCTGCTGCGTGCTCAGCAGGCTCATGTATTCCTTGGATTCTCTATGGTTGCTAAAAACTGACAAGTCGAGATTGGACAATCTCCATTGCAAATGCTTGCGACGACTACTTGGTATTCCCCATTCGTTCGTTTTTCGTGTTCGCAACAGTGACGCGTTGCAGCGAGAGTCGTCGACGCCATTATCTGAGATTCTGAAAAAACGCCACAAAGCGGTGTATCGTCGAATTGCCAGGTCCCCAGACTGTCCCCAGACCCTTCCGCTCATCAAAGACATCCTGTGCGATTCGGACGGCATTCCCAAAAATTGGGCGCGCCGCCGGAAACGAGGACACCCGCGACAACAGTGGGCGACTTCTGTATATGAGCTGTCTTGTTTGTACGTCTACTTCGCCCGCTCCTCGTTCCCCTCTCTTTTGTGAAAATGATGCCAGAGATACTGCAGCAAATTCTGTGTGGCACCTGAGATGTCCATCACCTCGCACAGTGGTGGCTGATTTCATGTACAATTTTCCATAGGCCTAGCTGTATATTTGTTTTATGGATCCGCCGAGTTGTGTGGCCGAGACCTTATCTGTCCATCGTTTCTGCGTTTTATTGCAGTCGGGCGTTTTGCAGTCTAAACTCTCTGTGCACGCAATCGCTCTGTAACGCTTTTGCGTCACATTTTCACGAGGAGTTGCCAATCGCTCACTCTTCTGCCCACGCGTCCCTCTGGATGCTCGGCTCAGTGGTGATGGTGGTTCGTGGCCGTCTCGGGGGCCTCCTGCGCAGACTTGGGTGGCTCTCTTGGGGTCGTCTTGGGACTGGTTTTGGGCTGGGAAGTCTCCGGAGTTCTTGTGAGCGTCCTGTGCTCGCCTGGGGGCCGTTGTGGAGCAATCCTCGGGCTTCTGCAGGTTGGCATTGGGCGTGCCCAGGCCGCTCTGGAGGCGTGGAGAGCACGAAGGCACATGTCGAGGCGCCGTCGGACTCCTGCAAGCGCCCCGAAGCCACCCAGAATCGCGGAGAGACCTTTCTGGGGCTTTCGCGGGCGCTCTGGGGAGCCTCGCGGGGCACTTTTTGGCACGTCGCGGGGCGATCTTGAAAGCATCTTGGGCCGTTGTGGACGCTTTGGCACGAAAGGGACGGACAATTCTGTATGTGTTGCGTTTCGACGCGCCTGGAGGTCGGCGCCCCTGGGCGATAGCATAGGCCGCAGAAGGGCAACATGAGCATTACTATTGCCATTTTGAGCCGCTCCTCGACATAAAGCTGCTGGAAGGCACCGCGGCACCCCAAGCCGCCAGAAACCTCTCCCACATTGGGGCTTGAAAAACAAGGGTCTGAGGAACACGTGTCCTCAAAATTGGAATTTCCCAGAAGGTGCGTTTCATATACTTTTGAACATTATTCCTTCTAAAGAATTATTATTGTTGGGACCCCTGGTGCGCGACCTCTGCGCCGCGCCTAGGCCGCAGCTACATATTCATCATTTTTTCGCGAAAGCTTCAGAAAAGTGGATGAGCTCCGGATCCGGTTTTTTGTTGACGCTCGTTTTCCCTTGCAAAAAACAATAGAAAATGAAAATTCTTGTTTTTACTTGATCAAATTGCAAGAATCCCTTGCAAAAAATAAGGTAAAGTGGACATTCGTGCGCGCAAGACGAAATCCTTCCAAAACCTTAGGTTTCGTAGCGATTTTAACATAAAAACATCAAAAACCCAATGGTTTTCTCAGAAAAAAATGTCAAAATGTCCTTCCGCGCGCTCTTGCGGATTCTAGGAAACCCACCAGATTTTAAACATTTCTGTCAAAAGGGTCTTTGCGTGCTACTTCTTCAGGTGCTTTGAACTTCTCCAACAACGGTTGCGCGCCTGCGAGGGCCACCATCCCTTGCAAAAAATGAGACGAAGTGCACATGCGCGCGGCCGCCGCGCGCGCATGTCGAAATCCTGCCAAACACAATGGGTTTTCAATAATTTCAAGATGCGATGTTCAGAAAACATATGAAAACGCACTACTTTCTCATCCGAAAAATCTCGAAATCCATTCGCGGTCTCTTGATGAATCTTTAAAACCCAAGATGGCCCCAACAGGCGCGCAAGATGGCCCCAAGAGGCGTCCATGAGGCCCAAAGAGGCGCCCAAGATGGTCCCAAGAGGCTTCAAGAGGACTCCAAGAGGCCCCCAAGAGGTTCCAGAGAGGCTCCAAGGTGGCTCCAAGAGACCCCCAAGATGGCCCCAGGAGGCGTTCTAGAGGCCCCAAGAGTCCGCCGTATAACATCAGTGTAACACATGTACTTCTGTAATCGCATCCCCACGAATTTGCCCCAAAAATGTGACCAACTATCTTGGCACTGCGTACCATCTCACGTGTACCGTGTACCACATCATATGTAACAGATGTGATCAACCTCTGTGGGTGTGTACCCCACGCCAGTGTAGTAGCCAGGGTCGTCCGCACGCCACGAAGTGAAGTGTCCCAACGTCATAGGGCGGGAAGCTGGGTGTGGGTGGTCTCGAAGAGTCGTTTGGATATTTGGTAGAGCTTGAACGGCCCCCCCACGAAGTGGGGGTATTGGCTGGTGTCGCAAGAAAACCCTGGCACTGGGGAGAACACTGAGCGTTCGGGTAAAATGATTGTTGTTGTTGTTGTTGTTGTTGTTGGCGTTATATCCTCATTTCTAAGAAAGACTTATTGTTGACCCCCCATCCAGTGCTCATAGTTTTTACAATTGAAATGCAAGCACCGCACCCTGTTGTTACAAGGACAACTTTTGGGGCTCACACTGGATTGCTTGCCCCCGAACTCCAACAATGACGGCTCCCGCCTGGTACTTCCTCACAATTCACGCAAGAATCGCGCTCTCGCGTGGGACTTTCTCGCAATTCATTGCGACGCCGCGCCCTCGACTCTCAGGAATCACGCTCTCCTTCGGGAATCCTGTGCGATTTACTTGGGAATCGCGCCATTGGCCGAGACGTCTTTGCGATCCACGCAGGAAAGACGCGCCGACGACCCGCCCGCTCTGCCTCCAGTCTCCTCGTGCCTCCCCCTGCCTCTTTCGCTGTTCTCCATTCCTTCCTCCGCTCCTCCTCCGTCCTCCCTGCTCGCCTTTCGGCGGCGATGGTTTTCCATGTGAGCGACGATGAGAAACGGGCCTTGCGCGATATGACGCAGCGACCTTAACGCGGGAGCTTACGCGGGCCGCCAGCGTGGCACGCTACTTTGGAGGCAATTGAGGTTACGCGCGACCTTACGCGGGTAACTTACGCGCCAATGTCGGCGAAGGCGATCCTGTTTTTTCTGTCGCCCGTGTGAAATCACGCTGCTCCTCGTTCGCCAGCACTCCCAGTCTGCCTTCGGAACCTGACAAAACGGTGTAGGTCTCAGCTCGCTGTTGAACCGCAAACGGGTAACCCCTCTTGACCCCACTGCCCTTTTCCAGTTTCGTTCCCCCTCCACTCGCCTCCTTCCTTATATGGGACTGGACCATGGCCGCACGAAGCACAATGCGGACACCCGCCCTATTATCGTCGCCGTCGTCGTCACTCTCGTGGTCCTCATCGCCATCGTCACCATCGCCGTCATCGCCGCTGTGGCCGCGGTCGCCGTCTCCTACCTCTCTCCCTACCCCCTCCTGCTTCTCCTCCGCCTTCCCACACGCGCGTTCATTCCTTCACCATCGTGTAAGTTCTCCTGCTCTGACTGCTTTTGCGGCTGCTGCTGCTACGTCGCCTTCTCCTATTTCGTGCCCTCTCCTGGATGTCGCATCCAGCGGCTCAAAAACACAGAGATGATAAGCAACACGACGACGAAAATATAACCATCGTGCCAACAGATCTTCTTCCCTGATCCTGCTCAGAGAGCTCACCCTCGCGATGTTTCTCCTCCCCCTGCTCCTCTGAACCTCTTTCCTCGTCCCTGTCTCCTGCTCCTTCTCCTTCCTGCTCCTCTCGGATCATGCCTCTTACCCTATTTGACCTTCCTGCCACGGCGCTTTCTTCCTCTTCCCGCCTTCGACTCCATGGATGTCCCCCCTGCCCCTTCGTGAGCGCATGTGTTGAGCCCGGAGCCGTCCAAGCAGCTCGCTGCGCCTGTCTGCCTCAGTTGTAAGGGCCACGCGCTTATCTAATGCACCACCCCTGATCCACTGAGGCGACTTGGAACAGCCGACGAAGCAGCCACAACGTGTGAGCAAGGAGGGCGCAAATATGGCTGCCAGGGTTATCAGGTGGGGTGGTGGGCTCAAAAATCGACGCGGGCCCAAGCAACACACCACCGGCTGCGGAAGTCAACGAAATGGGGAACAACATGCTCCAGGCTTCCCTCGAGCGTCTGTGCCCCTGTCTGAATCCCCTGCCGAATGACTATGGACATTTTTGCACCTCTACAGCTTCGCACAGGGCGTACTCCAGCGGCCAGCTGCCCTACGTGAGAATCTCTGGGCGACGCGTCGCCAAATTGCACGGTCTGGCTGCAGGCTGCACGCTGGCAGCCCTGTTCTCCCAAAGCCGCACCGAGCAGCGGTGCACAGGCTCACAACGAACTGTCGATTGCCCCCGGTGGCCAGTCGCCGCTTTTGCATTGTGCTGGAAGCGCGTTGCTTCTTCGCCGCGTGCCTAGTCGCGCCAGCAACGCTGCGCGCCCGCGTGCCGAACATTCCGGCAGTGACAAGCGGCCGTCGCGCGCTTGTTCCCCCTCCCTGGCGGGATGCCGGAATTGCCACCTTTCCCATACCCACGGCAAACCAAGCTAAGCTCTGATCTTGTTCAAGAATCGTTGCTCCCTGCAGGCGGAGCCGCTGTATTTTCCTCATTCGAACGTGTCCCTCGAGGGGCTGTCATTTGATATCTCGGGGTCCCCAGAGTACATGATCGACGAGATCCACCCTGTCGAGTCGTGGGGCGGGAGCCTGCTGGCGGAGCTCTGGCTTCATGCTGCATGCAGCATCGCCAGACCATGTGCGCACGCGGCCTCGATTTTCTGGCAAGAGGTCCTGCAGAGCATGCTCCTCATGATCGGAAGTCTACGGCGTAGCAATGGGCTCAAGTACACGTTCCGGGGACGTGGAGTCTGCGAGTCACGCGGGATCCGAACCAGCGCTGGCTGTGCACCAGCTGTGCGAGCAGACTGGCGTGGAAACGGAGGAGCAGTGGCGCAGGATCGAGAAGCTGGCCAGCCCAGGCCAGCGCGCCCTGCTCCTGGCGCCCACTCTCTGCAAGTCCGTCTTGGCATTCGCCGGGGGGAATTGACGGGAAGGCGCCAGTGGGTCCTCGCGGGCCGGGCTGCGCAGCGCCCAAGCCCACAGTCCCCATCTCGCCGCCGCCGCCACCCCCTCGCTCTCCCTCGTCGGCCAAGGACGTCCACGGCGGCAGAACAACCGAATACCGACCGAAGCGGTAGCGGAACCGAAGCAGGGCTAAGCCGACAGGCCACCAGCAGCCCAGGAAGGCCGCAACAACGCAGCACCGACACGACTACCGACAGAACCGAACCGACCGATCGCAACCATCTGCGACGCAACGGGACCCACCGAACCGTGGACACCCTTGACAACTTCCCTCTTGCTGTTGCCGTCCCTTCCTCACTATGCATCATCCTTGCCCCACCCTTCGAAGGGGACCCTCTGGGTCTGGGCGCTCGTTCCGTCGTCGTTCGGGGCTTCTGTGGGTTTCAGACGTCGGCTGGTGAGTTCAGCTGTAGTGTCTTCATTGGGACTTGGGCAGCGAAGCGCGATCTTTGATCTCTCGTGTCCCCTGGAGTCAGCGAGCGAAGGCTAGGTGAAGAAGGAGGAGAGTGGGAAGAGTAGGCACTCCTCCCCCTCTTCCTCCTTCTCCTCCTCCTCCTCCTCCTCCTCCACAGGGCGAACAAAAGCTGAGCCCTCCGCCCCGCAGTCGCCCGTGGCCATCTTCCCGGCGGCTGCCACGCGGATGCCGCGATCGCGGCACTCCTCCTGCATGGATGGTGCGCGGAGATTGCCGAGGGTCGAAGCGAAGCCGATGACTGCTGTGGAGCATACGCTCCTGCTCTTCCGCTGCCTACCTCTCTGACTTCTCGATTCGCGCCGCGTAAGGCGGAGTCACCATTGCGCTCTCGCATGAGCCCCCCGGAGAAAGACAGCTCCGCAGTCCAGATGGCGAAGAGCGATTGTCTTCACGCCCCCGCGGGTGGGCCTGGGTGTCATGGCCGGACCTGGTAAGCGATCGTGAAATCGCCTGCCTCCGTGCGGCGCCATCAAGATCCGCCATTGCGCTTTGCGGCGGTGAGCGCTTAGCTTTTTGTTTGGTTGTGTAGTTTTTGGCTCAAAATATAATTCGTGTTGATCCCACTGGTGCAGCGCGCATTGGTTTTACAAATGCAGTGCTCCGCCTGGGGTTCGCACCCTGTTTTTGTGCGAAAAAACCTTACGCCCCCCGACTAAAACAATAATGGCGCCCGCCTGATACATCCTCGACGTTGAATCAAAATTGCGTTTAAGCTCGAACATTCGTCGTAATTTACTGACGAATCACAGTCTCGCATAGGAATTCTTCGCAATTTGATGGATGGGGTGAGAAAGGCCTGATTGCGCTCCGTGTCCCTGGGTTGACGGGCGGCTAATGACTGTCGCCACCACAACTCACTGATCGCCGGTGGTCTTCCGTGCGGATCGATGCTTGGGTGACACGTTATGGGTGTGGCCCTTGCCGTCGCTTCTCCTGTGAATTCCCCGCCTGGTTCCATGTCCACATTTCAAGCGGCTTCAAGTCGTGCCGCGCGCTTTCCTTCTTGTTCTTCAATAAGACGCCGTGCTTTTCTGATCTTGATCCTCATCTGCCCCCGGCTGCCCTTCATCCCTTTGCGGCGGCGTCCTTGCGGCGCCCGCGGGAGTATCGCCAATATCGCTCCCATTGCCTGTCTCTACGGTGGTGAGCATTGTTCCATCGGCGGAGGGACCATCGGGTCCCTGGCGCTCACCGTGCCCCGCGCCCACTATCCAATGCGGGACTGGTCCGTGACAGGTGAGGCATATGGAGTGGGTCCCGCGTCTGCGCGATGGCCCATGCGAGCAGATAAGAGCGAACAGTAGCAAACATGACTGTTGTTGCAGTTGACTACGACCGCATCCGAGGGTCCCCCACGAGGACTCTCGGAGAGACCCCCCTCCGAAAACACCTCAGAAGGATCCTCTGGTCCCTCTCCGCATCCTTGACTGTGAACGTTCCGCGGTGGATTTGCAAGGCTTGTTCCATCAAAGCGAACCTCCTCCTCGCTCTCTTCTTCCTCGCCCTCGTCCTCACCCTCCCATCATCAGCATCTTCCTCTTCGGCGTCTTCCCCATCACAGCCTGCCAGACGCGTGTTTGACCCCCCTTTCGTGTACGCACTCTCGATCGCGACAAACGCGGCGCCCACGCGCTGGATACCCACATTGGCGCCCAAACGCGTGAAAGTCCATGCCAAGTGCACGCGTGGCAGAGGCCCGCCAAATGAACTCTCTCACCACCTTCTCCCGCGGAGGACGAGGATGAGGCTCATCCCCGAGAGCGCATGGCCCGCCCCAGCGGGGGGGAGGGGCCTCGAGCTCGGGGACGGGGAGCTCCTGTGACCGCGCGGGTCATCGGGGGCGGCAGCTGGGAAGGTCTCAGAGGGGCGAGGAGTTTGAGGAGGAGGATGAGGCGGAGGAGGAGGAAGGAGGAGGAGGAGGAGGAGGAGGAGGAGGAGGAGGAGGCGAAGGGGATGAGGGCGCGAGACGGAAGCAATGAGGATGATGAGACTGGCAGGGAGGAATGCGACGTGTTTCCATCGGCTTCGGCATCAAAATTGAACCTTCGGGCCCCGGGACGATAGAACATGCATCTGGGTGGAAGAGCTACCCCCGTGCAGCGAAGTGGTCGACACTGCAGGGGCCGCGGGTGGAAGTAATCACATCGGCGGATGTCTGGGGAGGAGGCGGAGGACGTAGACTTCCGATGGCATTCGGCTTCCATGCTGCCATTTCCGCTCCATCTCGACACCTCGAGGCCCGCTGCGGGCCCTGGGACCGACGAACAACGACTCAGGATGGACCCCTGTCCCCAGGGAAGGGGCCAACACAATCGTAAAGCACACGAGGCTGGGCGTCTGGGCATGTGGCCAGGCAAGTTTCGGCATTGCAGCGCCGACCAGCGCTTGCGGTGACTCCCGCCACCAGCGTCTCGACCATGCGACGTGGCGGTTCCAGCAGTGGCACGGTTCAGTGTGCAGGAACTCCATGAGCCCTTCTCAAGACATGTCTTCGGCACGCCTTCCCCAAACTTCCGGCGGCTTGATTTTTTCGAAGCTCGGGACCTGGGGTCTCGCGATCTCCTCCCCCGCGCCAACCTCTCATCCCGAGTCGGTCTTTGATGGCCCAGAGGCCCCAGAGTGGAGACCAGAGGCTCGACACGGCGACAAACTGGCGGTCTCGCTCTCCTCGAGTCCCTGGACCCCTGGGCTCGCTGCTCTTCGGTAGCCGACGCGTCCCAGCGGGCGTTCGGGCGCCTGGCGATGAGAGCCTCAAAGTGCAACGAGGCGCTGGCCTGCCAGCACCCGCCGCCTCGCTGCAGCTGGGCCGTCTGGACCTCCCGAGCCCCGACGTCGTGCAAGACCTCCCCGCTCGAGATTCGGCGTCGTGGAGAAACTCTTGGCCTGCGGACGCGGCCACGGTCCAGGTCGGTCGGGTGTGGGCGGCCGCGTCAGCGCGACTCGGGCCCCGTGCAAGAGAGAGGCGAAGCGAAGGAGGAAGCAGCAGCAGAGGCAGTGGGGGACCCTGACTCCGACACCAGGGGGGTGCTCGAAGCGCCTGCCTCGGGCGCTGCGTTTTTTTCACTGCGTGGGCCCCCGGAGCGATCGACTCCATCCCCAGGGGTGGTTGCCAGCAGCGGATCGTTTTCCCTGTAGATCCCAGGGCCCGAAGACCACCCTCCCAGAGGCGAAGATTGACGAACAACGCCCGTATGACCCAAACGTTCGACGTCGTGTTTTTTCGATGCGTGGCCCCTGAACCTCTCGAGAATCGCCCAAGGACTGCAATTCCATTCCGCATTTTTTTTTTGTTTGGGACTCTGGAGGCCAAGAGCGAGCCCCAGACGCTGAACACAGCAATAAAAACAATCCACCTTGATATCTTCAGTAGGGGCCTCCGGATGTGTCCAAGAGGCCTCTGGAGGTACCCTGAGGCTCCCAGATGCCCGACTCGGTCCTCGATCCTCGAACCTAAATCCTCAAAACTCGAACCTCGAACCGATTCAACAAACCTCGATCGGCCAACTCGCCATGCAAGCTGGGAGAGAAACGCATGATTGTTAACGCCACGCAGGGCGTAGCATCATCGATCTCTCTCCCGTTCCCCTAGTCGCTCTGGCCGCTTCTCTTGCATGTTTCCTTGATCCACTTGTCACTGCAACACTTTGACGCGACACGGGCACTCTCGGGGGAGGTGTGAACCATCGCTTTGCTTGACAGAAAGATCGATTTCCACTTCGACTGATGGGGGGGTGGGGCACAACTCATGGCTGGCGGCACGTGCGCGGCCCAGGGGGGGTGGGGGGGGCGGGGGCGTCGTGAAATAAGAGGAGGCGCCATGAAAAGTCTGGGGAGGTCTCATGGCCCCCGCCATGACTCCCCACCCCCAAGTCATCATCCCCCCTGTTTGGCCGCCCCCGACGGGGACGCATTGAAATGAGAAGAGTCGCCCTGACATCTGGGGAGACATATCATGGCCCCCGCCAGGAATTTGGATAAGCGTGTGCGCCCCCCCGGGAAGCTCCCTATCGGGCCACGAAATGTACGAGGGGTGCGCCGAATTAGGTGGAGAACCGTATGCGAACCCCCTCTCCTGGAGGTTTCGTTGGAGCTCCCTTTGGGTCCACGAGACGTGAGGGTGTGCCGAGATAGGCGGGGAACCGCATGCGAAACCCAACTCCTTGGAGCCTCGGTGGAGCTCCCCCCCCCCAAGTCATCCTCCCCTCTCCTTGGCCGCCCCCGAAGGGAGCGAGTGCGGGGCTGGCTCGCGCCGCGGCGGCCGGGCCGCCCCAGGGAGGAGGAGGAGGAGGAGGAGGAGGAGGAGGAGGAGGAGGAGGAGGAGGAGGAGGAGGAGGAGGAGGGGGGAGGGGGAGGAGGAGAGGAGGAGGAGGAGGAGGAGGAGGAGGAGGAGGAGGAGGAGGAGGAGGAGGAGGAGGAGGAGGAGGAGGAGGAGGAGGAGAGGAGGAGGAGGAGGGAGGAGGAGAGGAGGAGGAGGAGGAGGAGGAGGAGGAGGAGGATGAGGAGGAGGAAGCGCGGCGCGGCGGCCGCCTGCGCGCCCTCGCGCCGCTCCCCCGCCCCCGAAGGAGCGGGGCGCCTCGCCGGCCCAGGCCGCGACGCGCGAGGGCGCGACTCGACCTCCGCGCCCCTGCTGGGTCAGCTGCGCCCCTGCCTGGGGCTACGGAGCCCTTCGGCCGAGAAGGGTGGCCTTCGCTCCAGGCGTGGTCTCCTGCACGGGTGGTCCAGGTCCAGGCGTGCGGGAGCTCGACGAAGAGGGGAGCTCCGAGGGATTGCCCAGGGTCCAGGTTCCCGAAGCTGCAGCTGCTCTGAGGTTGTCATTCTGCCTCGGCTCGGGCCGACCCCGGGGCGGGCCCAGGTCCTCCCACAAGGCCGCGGCCCTCAGCCCCTCCAGCAGCCGCTCCCGCGAGAGGCCTGGCCTGGGCAGCTCCAGCCGCCCGAACTCGGTCAGGAGCTCGCGGAGGCTGGCGGCCTGGACAGGGCTACAACATTTCATTTGGCTAAGATAATGTCGAACGTACTTTTCAAGGAAAAAACAGCTGCACATCTCGTTTGAATTACGTGACTTGCTATATTAGGGCGGCGGGCGAGGGAGGGAAGCGAGAAGGAGAGACGGCCTTCTCTGAAGGCGGCGGGGCTTCTCAGAAGCCCTCTGGCGTTCTGAAACATTTTCAGTTTCTTTGGGGAAAGCCTCGAAAACCTTTTCCGAGGGCCAGGGGACTTCCGAGCCTTCTGAGAAGGCCCACCCCTTCTCACTTTCCCCTCGGGCTCGCAACCGATCCATTGCCCCTCATGCTTTTCCGCTTCCCACTGCGCACCATCCTCGTGGCCCGAGGCCGCCCGCGCGCCACCCACCAAGCGACTCTCGGCGGATGGGACCTTCCCGCCGCCTCCTCCGTGGCCGCCCTCTCTCCTTCTTCGCCGGCTCTAGTGCCCGTTCTCGGCACGCCCTGCCGCAAGGGACTCCCGCGCCCGCGGCCGCTGGCGCTGCCGAGTGAAACTTTGCACTTCGTTCGAGCCCCGCTCCAACGACACGGCGAACGTCCGCCCCCCCGGGGGGGGGTCGAGGCCCGTGCCCGCGGATCGAGCCATACCGCTCCGTCCCGAGGTCTGGCTTCGATCCTCCTTTTTGGGCAAGCCCGCAGGCGTTCCAGGCACGAGGCGGCAGACTCGATCCTCCTGCTCCTCCTCCTTCTCCTCCTCCTCCTCCTCCTCCTCCTCCTCCTCCTCCTCCTCCTCCCCTGACTCTTGCTCTTGCCCCTCCTCCTCCTCCTCCTCCTGTGCTCCTGTGCTCCCGACGGCAAAGGGGTTCGTCGAGCGCTGCCGCTTACCTCCTCCACCTCCTCCTCCTCTGATTTCTCTCCTCCCTCTCCTCTCTCTCTCTCTCTCCTCTCTCTCTCCTCCCTCTCCCCTGCCACAGCGAAAGTGGCGATTCGCCCTACTTTGCAGCAGGTCCCCCCTGTCACCCCCAGGATGGCGATACGCCCCGCTGTGGAGGGGTTCCCATCTTGTCACCCTGAAAAGATAGGTGACGTCCTAGGCGGCCGTATAATACGTTCCTTCGGTCACCCCTAAGGTTGTGATTCGTCAAGCTTCGGCCAATATCCCCCTGGCGATCTGCGTTGCCGCGGATCCAGTCCCCCCCGTCACCCCTAGGGTGGCGAACCGTCCTGCTGGGGAGCCGACCCACTGGTCACCTCTGAGGTAGTTTGCTATCTGGGTTGCCGCGTGTACGCGTCCTTCCAGAATCAGTGGGCCACTGCCCCAGCAAATTCACTCCCCCTCCGGTGTGCCGTCCCGTGGGTGCCCGGATCCGCTTTGATCGCCAGGAATGGAAATGGGGCAAGGAGGGAGGGAAACGAATCCATCCAACGGACCAGTAGTACGGCCCGTGAGACAATGCTTGCCTGGACAGGCCCGCAAGTTCGTCGCCCTCCCCTGTTTAGGTCTCGAGTCGGGTCTTCCCATACGTTCAGCCATGTCTAGGCGTTCTACACATGAGCATCCGTCCTTGCACCCAACTGCGAATCAGAGTAAACCATCCCCCTTCTCCTCCTCCTCCTTCTCCTCCTCCTCCTCATCCTGTCTCTGGTATTTCCCCCCCCCTGGCAGCTTTGCCACATCGGGAACTGGACTCAAGCTGAGCTGTCGCACTCAGGGCAGGACATGCCAAGAGGGTACACAAGGTTATTGGCCCACCAAATGGGGTTCAGGTGCTCCTAAGCCATATCACTTCAAGGCCTCCTCCTTCTCCTCCTTCTCCTCCTCCTCCTCCTCTTCCTCTGCCCCCTTGTGGGGGCAGGAGGGGGAGTCCAGCCCAGTGATCGCCGACAGTGCCGCCCCGAGGCGCCCCCGTCTCCCCCCAGGACACCGTTGCCGTTGGGGGGAGGAGGAGGAGGAGGAGAAGCAGGAGGAGGAGGAGGAGGAGGAGGAGGAGGAGGAGGAGGAGGAGGGGGAGGAGGAGGAGGAGGGGGAGGAGGGGGAGGAGGAGGAGGAGGAGGAGGAGGAGGACGAGAAGGAGGATCGCAGGGCACGCAGGTGGCGAACACAACGCGCCCCGCTGCCCTCCTGCGCGTCCCCAGGCGGGGGAGAGGCCCGGGCTGGAAAATTGCATGCACAAAGCGAGGCCAGACAATGGTCGGGCAGTGGTAAACCTGCCGCGCCCCGCGGTCAACAGAGAAGGAACAGGGGGGTTGGAGGGCAATGCAGGCAAGAGGGAGTCCAGGGAAACGGAGGAAAAGAAGGTCATGATGAGGAGGAGGAGAAAAAGAGGAATAAGGAATATCCGCTCCGGCTTCAGACATCGGCGTCTCATCTCAATCGAGAGCCGGGCTGATCCGCTCCGGTCGGGAGCTGCCGCCGCAGAAAGCCGCCGAGGTCGCTCACGAGGGTCGAGGGAAAACGCCGGATGTTCTTCACCCAGTCAAGGTCCTTGTACCGGCTGCAACCTTCACCCGTCTTCTCGCAGGCGGCCTGCCACTGCTCCTCGGCCCGCCCGACGTCTCCGCTCGCCCAGTACGCCGCCGCGAGCGCGACGTGTGGGTCCACCATGGCAGGATCTTTGAGCGCGGCGAGCTCCATCCGCGCGACGCCCTCGCTCCGCCGGCCCGCCCCGAAGAGAGCAAGCCCTTCGTTGCTGCGTGACAGGGCCGCTGTCTGCCACTCCCCGTCCTTGACGAAGATCTTGGTGGCCTCCTGGTAGTCTGCCAGAGCGTCCTCGAATCGCCCGAGCTGGCTCAGTGCGTTACCGCGAAAATTCAGCACCATTGGGTTGACGCCGAGCTGGGGGCCTGTGCGGGAATCTTTGATGCCGTCACGCCACAGGTCTATGGCACGCGTGTAGTCTTCTGCTGCGCCAGCCCACTGGGACCTGTCCTTCCGGCCATACGCGATTTCCTCCTTCGCTAGTGCTCGGCGCACGTATACGCTCGGGTAGTCGAAAGTGCCGACGGCGCCGCTCATGTCGGCCTCCATCAGCCGCAACACCTCGTCGAAATCTTCCACGGCAGCCTCCGCCTTCTCTGGCATCTTGCCGCCCGTGGTGTCGTTGATCGTGATGCGAGCCTGGGCGCGCCCCAGCCGCAGCTGCACGCGGTCGCCGGGCGTGCCGCGAAGAGGGCCCTCCCAACGGGCGATAGCGCGCGTGAAGTCGGCCTCGGCGGCCTCCAAGGCCTCCCGCGCCCCAGGCCGGGCGGGGTCCGCGGCCAGCGTGGCGAAGGCGCGCTGCACCAGTGCCACGTCGTCGGCGGTGGGCTCCACCGCCCCCGCCGCTGCCGCGGCCTCCTGCGGCGACGGCCCTGGCGTGGCGCTGGCCACGCCCATGCCCCGCGCCGGCGCCGCCGCAGCGGCGGCCAGCAGCGAACGCCTGAGCCTCCGCAGAGCGGGCCCTTGTCCCAGGGGGTCTCCGCCCACGGCGGCGGCGGTCCGCCCCCCCACGGCTGCGCCGAGCGCGAGCGCGGCTGCCAGGGCGGCCTTCGTCCAGCGCCGCGCACACCGGGCGGATGGCGGCAGCACGCGGCGCTGGCGGCCGCGCCGCTGGGGGCGGCCCGGCGGCCGCGTCGCAGGGCAGAGCATGGGCTCCATGGGGCGTCCTGGTATGAGCAGACCGATCACGCGGCCCTGGGCCCAACTGGCTTGAGCCATAAAGGCTACGGACGTAGGGAAGAAGATGACTACGAGGAGATGCTGCTGCTGCTGCTGCTGCTGCTGATGATGATGATGATGATGATGATGATGATGATGATGATGATGATGATGATACGACGATGATGATGATGACGATGATGATGGTAATGATGATGATGGGGAGGAGGTGGAGGAGGGTGATGAGGGGGAGGAGGAGGAGAAAAATTGGATTTTGCTCTGGGGCCTCCTCTCCAGAGGCCCTCCGAAGGCCTCCGTGTGGCCTCCTGCGGACCTCTGGGGGTCTTAGGAGGCTTCCAGAAAGGCTTGAGGATTTTTTCATCTCCACTGGACCCTTGCATGATGGATTTTGGGTTGTTTTGTCAGACAGCGCTGTCTGGCCTCAGTCGTCGGGCCGGTCACTCAGGACTTCGGCGGCGCTGGTCCCCGCGCAGATGATGCTCGCGCTATGCCATGGAGTGATACGTTACGCGCTGGCCAATATCAAGGTATGCCATGCTAGTCTGTTCAAAGATGTGTACACCGTTGCGACGCAGTGCCACGCTAAGTATTCCAGGCCATGCTGCGCGCTGCCACATTATGGCATGCCAATTCTGTGCAATGTAGCATCATGCCATGCCAAGGCATGATGTATTGCCATGCTCTGCAAGACTATGCCAGGCTACGCCGTGTTACGCAACGCTATGCCATGATACGCTAGGCGGTGCGATGCTATGCTGCCATGCATAGCCATGCCATGCGTTGCAATGCCTCGTCGTGCGCTGAGATTCATCTCATTGCGCTGCACATCAACCCCTTCACGAACAGCAACTCCCAAGTGGTGCTCTGGGCGACCTCCGCAGGGACCTAGGAAGACCTCCGAAGCTCTCTGGAAGTCTGCCGTGGACTGTGTCCGCGCGCGCGGTCTCCTCACGTAACCGTGCAACCGTCAGCAGGCAGGCCGCCGAGACTACCACAGCAACCACACGCCAGTCAGGGTGCGGCAAACCAGGTGAGCTACACTATTAGCTACGCTGCCAAGTTCGGTCGAGATCGTGGAAGAGGTGGAGGAAGGGCGGAGGAGGACTGGGACGGAGAGGCGAAATGGGAGGGGGATGGATGACGATGAGACAAGTGATTCGGGGGACGACAAAGATGAGGACGATGACAAGGATGATGATGCAGAGCAGGTCCATGAAAAGAACGAGAAGCATGAGCAGGAGGAGGAGGACGATTGATAGTACAATGATGCAGATCAGAATTGGGATTGCGACGACGACGATTCCTTGTTGTTGAGCTCTCATCTCGGCACAATGATTACTTTTGATCCCTCCTGCCCGGCAATTGAAACGCCCCTCTGGGGCTCGCACCCTGTTCCCCAATTAGGCTTGCCTGAAGGGTTCCCACTTGGTAAAAAATTGCTGCCTCGGGTGGCTACTTTGCCCGTTCCTCGGAGGCTCCCCGGGTTCCTCGGGTTCCCCGGGTTCCTCGGGTTCGCCAGGTTCCTCGGGTTCCCTGGGTCCCTCTGGTTCCTCGGGTCCCCAAGGTTCCCCAAGTTTCTCGGGTTCCTCGGGTTCCCCGGGTTCCCTGGGTTCTTCGGGTTCCTCTGGTTCCTCGGGTTCCCTGGGTTCCTCGGGTTCCCCAATTTCCTTGGGTTCCCCGGGTTCCTCGGGTTCCTCGGGTTCCCCCATTTCCTTGGGTTCCTCGGGTTCGTTGGGTTCCCCAATTTCCTTGGGTTCCCAAGGGGTTCCTCGGGTTCTCCAGGTTCCCCAAGCAATGCCAAGCAGTGCCAAGCAATGCGAAGCAATGCGAAGCAGTGCGAAGCAACGCGAAGCAATGCGAAGCATTGCCAAGCAATGCCAAGCAATACCAAGCAATGCCAAGCTATGCCAAGCACTGCGAAACACTGCGCCCATGCAATAGGAAACTTTCCCCAAATTTGGATCGCGCTGGTCTCATTTTTCCAAAGAAATTCTTGAGCCTCAAACTGCGCTCCTGCTCCCCAGTCTGCAACAACAACGGCTCGCGCGTGTTACTTCGCCGCAATTTGTTCCAGTTCGGTTACGATCTACGCAGGAATCGCGCTCTTGCCTAGGACTTCCTTGCAAGTAACTAAGGCGCTGCGCTCTCGACGTCCTGGAAATGCGCTCTCGTACGAGACTTGCTTCAAATTTACGCCGGGCTCGTGCTCTCGCTGGAATCCTTTTTCGCTTCTCTCCAAAATTTGCGAAACACGCTTCAATGTCCCGACCGCCCGACCCGCCAATTACGGCCCGCCCGCCCGACCCGCCCGTCAAGGTCAGCCCGCCGGACCTGGCGGGGAGGCGGGTGTTTTTTGTTTCAAATCTTTGGAACGGTTCGCCTGCTTGAAGCCTGCCCGCCCGCTTCATTGTCCGGGCCAGCCCGCGCCGTAGGGTCCGCCCGTCCGACCTGTCCTCTGAAGTCCGTCCGCTGGACCTGCTCGTCAGGGTCTGGCCTTTGGTTTGCCTGGAAGCCGCCCGCCCGCTTTGCTGCCCCGCCCGCCCGTCGCGCCCGTTGGAGCCCGCCCACCCGGCCCACCCGTGAGGGTCGGTGCGCCTGCCCGCTTGCCAACGCTACAAGTGGCACGCACACACCCGGGCCCATGCGCAAGGGAGGGCGAGGGCCGGGCGAGGCGGCTTGATGAGGGGGGGAGGTTCTCGGGGCCGTCCTCGTGCCCTCCCGAGGCCATCGTGCCAGATGGGGCGGCGCAGACCCCATGGGCGCCAGGCCACGGCGAGGTCGGGGAGGGGGGAGGGCGTCAGGGCGAGGCCAAGGGAGGAGGACGAACGACGCACATAAAAGGTTCCGCGGCCCGGGGGGCCTGCCCTGGGAGGCGAGTGGGTGGCCAGATGGGGCGGTGCAGAGCCCAGGGGAGCCAGGCCAGGGGGGGGGGGGGGCAGGGGGAGGCCGAGGGCATGCTAAGGGGAAGTCAGGGGGAGGCCAGGGGAAGAGGACGAACGACGACGAACGACGAAAATATAAGGTTCAGCGGCACAGGGGGGCTGCCCTAGGGAGGCCAGATGGGGCGGCGCAGAGCCAGGGGGGGGTTGAGCTCGGCGCTCGCACAGCACATGACTGACTCCTGCAATGCGGGACCTGCAGGAGCGGCCGAACACCTCCCCAACAGGGGAGTGCCATCAGCCAGAGCAGCGCCAACGGTGTGGGCCATGCCCCCGTGGCGTGCTAAGTGCGCGAAACAGGACGCGCAAGGAGACCGTGCTCTGCGTGCAATGTTTGGGGTAGGGGGCGCCGGAGTCCGTGCTCCGACGCCCAACCTACCCACCACCGCCCACTCCATGGGTGGCCGCTGGCGACGAGAGCAATTTTCTCTCCCCTTGGCCCCCTACGGGCAAACAAGGGTGACGATCGGGCTGCTACCCGCCTGTTTTCCTGGGAAAAAGGGGTCCCAGTGGCACAGGTGCCAAGGGGGGGGGGGGGGGCAGGGGTAGGCCAGGCGAGGAGGACGAACGACGAGCTGTGCAAGAGAATTGCTCCTACCTCCACCCCTCCTCGCTCTCTCCTTTTTTCCTTATCCCTCCTCCTCCTCCTCCTCCTCCTCCTCCCCCTCCTATTTTAGGGGCCGCGCCAGCAACATGTGGTAGGCACGAACAGTCTAACCCAAAAGGGAGTACGATCGAATAAGTAGCGGGCGGGTATAGATGCTGACTGCCACGCGGGCATCGAAGAACGAAAACTCTTCAACTCATTGAACTCTCGCTTTTTCAAGAATGGTTTTTGTTGATGCCACCTCACCCGTGCATGTTTTCAACTGAAGTGTTCCCTGGGCTCGCACTCGTGTTTATCAGGGAAAATCATGCTCAGACTGTGTTGTCGATCCTCGGTTTGCAACAAAAGCGGCTCCCGCCTGATACTTCCTTACAACAGATTCCAAGTCGCGCTCGCGAGCGGGACTTCCACACACACACACAACTTACTCAGGAATCGCGCTCTCTCGCAGGGCTCCCTTACATTCTATTCAACCACCGCGCCCTCGACGCCCAGGAATCGCGATCTCGCACGAGGCCTCTCCGCAATTTACTCAAGACCCGTCCTCTCGCCTTGAACGTCTTCGCAATGAGCAAAAGGTCGCTTCAATGCCCCGCCCGCCGGACCCACCCATTAAAAGGCCCGCCCGCACGACCCACCCGTCAAGGTCTGCCCGTTGGCCTGCTTGAAAACTTTCCGCCCGCTTCAATATCCCGCCCGGCCCGCTTGCAAAAATCCGCCCGCCCGATCCGCCCGTTAGGGTCCGGGTCCGCCCGCCTGATCCGCCCGCTGGGGTCGACCCGCTCGTCAGCCTCCGCTCGTCCGCGTGCTTGGAGGCCCTCCTTCGGTGGCGGCCAAGAGGGGGGCGTCCAAGGGTTGGGGCGCAAATCATGGCCGGCGGCACGTGCGCTGCCCAGGGGGGGGGGGGGGCCAGAGACGTAATGAAATGAGAAGAGGCGCCACCAAATGTGAGGAAGTATCATGGCCCCCGCCATGATGTCCACCCCCCCTAGTCATCCCCCCCCTCTTTGCCGCCCCCGATCCTGCCAGCTTCACTGCTCCGCCCGCCCGACATGCTGGTCAGGGTCCGCCCGCCGGACCCGCCAGGTAGGGCCCGCCCGCCCGACCTGGCCGTCCGCGTGCCAAGATTACTGCTCCTCTCCACCATGCTAGATCTTCTTCGCTCTCAGTCCTCCTCCCTCCCTGCTGCCTCTCTCCTTCCTCGTTTCGTCCTCCTTTCCTCGCCCTTTTCCTTCTCTCTCTCCTCTTCCTGTTGCATAGGCCGCGCCAACTGTACGTGGCAGGCAAGGAAGACCCCAAAAGGGGGTAAGATCGAAGGCGAAACGGGTGGATATCGAGGGTTTGGGCTATACGGTTTAACTGACGCGCGACTGGTCCCCGAGGTACAACAACAACAACAACGGCTTCCGCCTGATAGCTCCTCAGAATTAATTCAAACATCGCGCTCTCGCGTGGGACTCGTTACAAATTCTGCAGGAATCGCGCTCTCGCGT